GGGTGCCAGTGCGCAGGCGCGCGGCGGGGGCGGGGGCGGGGCCTGGGCGAGGGCGCCCGCGGGCCCTCGCTGATTTGCATGAGGAGGAGACCTGGGATGGGCCTGCCTGCGGGTGGGAGCGGAGGGGGGGGAGCTGGGCGTTTGCTGCGGTTCCCTGAATTGCTGCGGAAAATCGTTAATGTAAACATGTGCTTGAGCGTGCTGTGCCGGGCCATCCCCAGTCTTTCCCACGCCCTACACCGCAGGTCGTACGTAGCGGCCTCCACGGCGTGATGTTCCCGAGGGTTTTTGAGGGGCGTCTTTGCTCTTCCTCCTTAGGAGTGTCTGGGCCCTGACACCGAGCTGAATTAAGTGGCCTTACCTAGGCAGTTGGTGCTTTAGTGGCCGTCTTCGTGCCTCAGGAGTCTTCTCTTTCCAGTCTCAGGTCATTCTTGCCCGAAGGAGTGATTTGGATCCAGCTACTAAAAACCGCGGCAGTCTACCGTTTCGCTGTAGAGTCCATAGACGGAACCAGATACTTATAGTGCTCCACGATGGTACCACCCCACCCATGTCCTTTCAACTGGGACTCCCGTTATTCCAAAAGTTTCCTTCTTCTGACCTCGTTGCAGGCATAACCCGACCCTGTGGTATTGGACACACATGGGAAGAGCGAGGGTCTTGTCAACACCAGCTCCAGCTCGGAGTGTAGAGGATTGGGGCTAGCCGAGGAGGGGTTTGGTCACCGTGTGAGGACCCTGCTGGGAGTGCTTGTCTCTGTTCTCACCCCGCACTCTTTCATGGAACAAATAAACTTAAAACTTTGAAATTATAAACAACTGGTCAGATGTTCTCAATCCTATTCCAGTCTTCTTGCCTGGACACCTTGAAGAGCTGTGCTAGTGTCACACTGTTTTAAGTCAACCCTCTTCTGTGGGGTAAGGATTTAGTTGAAAATTTCATGGAAGTGAATCATTAGATAACTCGTTATCAGAGTTTTCGTTTCATGTGCTATTTTTTTAGCTGGGCAAGTTACTTTATCTCACCAGGACTAAATTTCTACATAAGTGAAAACAGGGTTGATCTGTGAGGCCTTTTTTTTTTGGAGAGTTTGGAGAGGTTTTCCCTTTAGGGGGGGGGCGGC